TTAGTAACCCTGTCCCTGCTTCCCTCCCGTCTCCTCTTCTCCCTTTCTCCCTTCCTGGCAGGGCCGACCTCTGCGGGCCTGCGTCCCCAAGGGCTTCCCCTATTTCCATGTGGAATGGGAGGCCGGCCAGGGCTATGTCCACATCGTAGAGGACCGAGAGCAGTTTCCGAGAGAGTGAGTGGGAAGAGATAGGATCGCCGAGTGCTGTGAACAAGTTGGTGGACCCAAGCCTTTGCAGAGTGTTGCGTGTGGAAAGCGGGTGCCAGGCTCCGCGCCTGCAATTGTCCCGACTGTGACGTGACCGGAACCCTTCCTTATCCCATCCCACGCAGTTTTGGCCTCTCGGTCGTGGCCGGCATGCTGGGGGTCGATCCTCCCCGCTTCGACCGCAAGTAAGTCTGTTTCTTGCACATTATTCTTTTTTTCCTCGCTCATTTTCTCTCTTGCACGTCGCTCCCCTGCATTTTTCGTTTCTGCCCCAGGGGCCAACCCCGTGGGAATCTCGGACTCGAGCGACAGGTTGTGGCTGGATTTTTGAGGGAGTGGCAGCCCTTCGATTGGACTCAAGAGTTGGAGGGAGGGAGCTACCTTGGATAAAGACTGGCAAGAGGGAGCAGAGCGGCTGTAAAACATGTACTAATAAAATCTTCCCAAAAGAAACGCCACTGCTAGGGCACTCCGCCTCAACGAAACGAGTTTTTCCTGTTTCCGGTGTCACTTCGCTTGAAGGCTTCTGCTAATGCTACTGCTCTATTCCCGCAATTCTTCTCCCCTCCTCTGCATCAATCACAACACTCGCGTCATTACAACCTGACTTCCCGCGTCACATTCCATTCCCGGTTCCTCCCCCACTTCCAGGGCGCGAAAGCCCCCTGACAGAACGGAAACGGCAGGGATCCTCCTTTGATCCTTCAAGGGCCGTCATGCTTCAACGAAACAGTACATCATGCTCTGTAAATTTCCTCCTCTTTGTCCCCCCCGACCACAATGGATCGCTCCCTGCGAGTAGTCAACTCGTTTCTATCCTCACCGGGCTCGACACCCATCCCGACGTCGCTCTCAACACCATGACATTTTAAAAACCACTGACCTCTAACGAAACTAAAGCAGACCCACCTTCCAACGGCTTCTAGTCTTCTCTAGGAAGTAGCCCTCCGCCCGGGCATGCACGAAGCCAGCGCCATGATTCGCTTGCTATCACAGTCTCCCTAACGCGAGCCTCAAACCATGAGCGACGTTATAGAGAGAAATATGCTGGGTACGAAGACAGTGGAGCCCAAACACCGCATCCCGCCGCCACCCGCCATTCGTCCTGCCTTTGCTCCCTGTAATTTACATGCTACACTCCTCCTTCAGCGAGACCTCTTCACTGACGTTTCGCCCCCTCTTCCTTGGCCCATGCTCGCGATTTTCCTGGGAGAAGGCTCGAGTGGACGCATGCGGTGACCTTCCATGGTAATATATTCACAATGGCCACTACTTCCCGCCAGGGGCCTGCCCCCTGCCTGCCCGGACAGTTGTGTCTTCGTCTGAGACACGCCTTCTGTGATGTTCGCATTCTTTCCCCATCGCCCGGGACGCAAGGTTTCCGTCCCCCGCACCCCTTTTCAGCTCCTTTGGACTTCCGCCCTCGCTCCACATGAGTGCCCTCCATTACCTCACCGGCGCGGGTCATCGGCATCAAATGAAAATGACAGAACCCCTCCATTTGCCTCCCTTTCTCCCCATTTATCCGCCCACACGACCGGCCACAACCTGACTCACAAGCCCCGACGTTAACAAAAAATCATTTCAGAAAAATATATCATTCTACATAAGACTTTTGGTATCGGCTAGCCATCTCCCCCTCCCGCGTGACCCCCAAGTCTCGAGTCAGACACCGCGCCCGCCAAGGAGAAAGAGCATGTATCCGTCTCCACCCTTGTTCCGACACTCGATTCCAAGCTCACATCCGCCGGGGGATAAGGTCGTTAGCTCCTTGCGCGTCGTCATCGAGACCCATGCCGGGGGGGGTGGGAGGGAGGGAGGGCAGCATGCTTCCGTCTGGGGCGACGGGGACACGGACCTGGAGAGGGATCGAGGGAGGGGGAGAGCAGGGGGAAAGCGGGAGATTGGATAAGAATAAGCAGACAGACAAATCCAGGATAGCTTTGACC